ACCAAGTAACTATCATGTCAAACTAACTAGTCGCTCGTTGCAGGAGGTGCTGCAATGTAACTATCATGAGGATTAGGCCAACAGTGCATTGTGATGAACCTAACTTTGTTAAATAAAACTAAACTTAAACCGCATACCTACTCAATATTATAATAATAATTTATTATTATTATTATTATTATTATTATCATTATCATTATTAACACTATGATCATCATCATCATCTGAAAGCGACAAGCCTGTAAGGGTCATACAGCGTCTGATAAATTTAATATAATCCAATTTTAATCATTCAAGGGAAAAATAGCCCCTATTCTCCGGATCAAGAGCCCTTCACCAGCCTCAGTGAAGAGCCGCTTGAAGAACTAGCACTCGACATAAAAGCCTCTGATTACATCGGCAAGTCTTACCTGCTGTCTGAGCGCTCGTTGCTACTACTGGCACTTCTCTCTCGTAACCTGGGTGACAGGAGGAACACACTCCACACACCAAGTCTCCTTGACGTTGCAATAGCAGCACCTGCCTCTATAAGCTTGCACGGTTGGCCAAGAAAGATGATCAGAAGATTATAAACACATTTTTCAAATAATGCAGATCACCGAAGACCAAAATGATGACCAAGATGAGGAAAGAAAATATTAGTCTATTTTTTGTTTTATTTTTAACATTATAAGTGAGGGGCGGTGGTTCCATCCTCCAGGATGGTATGTAGGAAGATTGAATTTTATCGTATTAAGATGTGGGTCGTTCAGGGTACAGTAAGGTGGAGGCTACAACTGTAATCTGAGATATGTTATCTAACCATAATCACCTAGTTAACATAAAATTAGTTACCGTTCAAGAAAATGCTGGAGAATCTCAGTGACTAACTTAAGAAAATGTTGGAGAAACGGATCAGGAAGATTCTGTTTACAGAAGTTAATTAAGAAGATGTTGACGGGTGAACCTATTGACTGGTTAATTTATACCTCCGGTTTGATGGGTGAGACTATACCTCCCTGTTGACGGGTGAGACTATACCTCCCAGTTGACGGGTGAGACTATACCTCCCTGTTGACGGGTGAGACTATACCTCCCTGTTGACGGGTGAGATTTACTCCAGTTGGACGGTGTGAGACTATACCTCCCTTTGACGGGTGGGATGAGATATTACTCCTTTTGTACGGGTGAATGACTATTTACCTCCCCTTTTGAAGGGTAAGACTATACTCCCCTTTTGTCGGGTGAGACTATACTTCCCTGTTGGGCGGGTGAACATATTGATGTTTAACATATACCTCTCTGTTGACGGTGTGGAGGGACTATTCCTCCCTGTGCGGGCGAGACATACCTCCCTGTTGACGGGTGAGACTATACTTCCTGTTGAAGGCGTGTGAATTAATGACTGGTTAACATATACCTCTCTGTTGACTGGTGAGACTATACCTCCCAATTAATAGGTGAGGGTAAGACAATACCTCCCTATTAACGGGTGAGATTATACCTCGCTATTAACGGGTGAGACGCCCTGTTGACGGGTGAGACTATACCTCCCTATAAATGAGTGAGACTATACCTCCTTATTAATGGGTAAGAGTATACCAGGTATCTTGGTACAGAAATGAAATCAACTTGTACAACTTCTACTAGTGAGAATGGCTGGATTTGAGAGGGACCTGACCTCCCAACATTTACATTCTTACCTCTACTAGTGACCTACGTCTCACCTCCTGGCGCTATATAAGGCTCCATCCTCTCACTTCAACTCCATATTGTTTCAGACTATGGAACAATACTCTTCTCCAGACTGAGGGACTGACCACCTCAAAACTTCAAGGGTGATGGACTGATTACATCGTCTTCAAGTCTCTTCTGCTTCTATCAACTTTTCTGTACTCGACTGAAGAAGCCTACTGTGTAGGCGAAACGTTTCGAAATAAAGATACCTAACTGTTGCATATGTGTCTTACCACACGAACAAGTTTCTTCCCACATCAATGTTACGGATCTCCAATACTCATAATGTCGCCCTCACTAAGGTACTTATAATGTCGCCCTCACTAAGGTACTCATAATGTCGCCCTCACTAAGGTACTTATAATGCCGCCCTCACTAAGGTACTTATAATGTCGCCCTCACTAAGGTACTTATAATGTCGCCCTCACTAAGGTACTATAATGCGCCCTCACTAAGGTACTCATAATTCGCCCTCACTAAGTACTTATAATGCCGCCCTCACTAAGGTACTTATAAATGTCGCCCTCACTAAGGTACTTATAAATGTCGCCCTCCCCTAAGGTACTTATAATGTCGCCCTCACTAAGGTACTCATAATGTCGCCCTCACTAAGGTACTTATAATGCCGCCCTCACTAAGGTACTTATAATGTCGCCCTCACTAAGGTACTTATAATGTCGCCCTCACTAAGGTACTTATAATGTCGCCCTCACTAAGGTACTTATAATGTCGCCCTAAACTAAGGTACTTATAATGTCCGCCCTCACTAAGGTACTTATAATGTCGCCCTCACTAAGGTACTTATAATGTCCGCCCTCACAAGTACTTATAATGTCGCCTCACTAAGGTATTCATAATGTCGCCCTCACTAAGGTACTTATAATGTCGCCCTCACTAAGGTACTTATAATGCCGCCCTCACTAAGGTACTTATAATGTCGCCCTCACTAAGGTACTTATAATGTCGCCCTCACTAAGTACTTAAATGTCGCCCTCACTAAGGTACTATAATGTCCGCCCTCACTAAGGTACTTATAATGTCGCCCTCACTAAGGTATTCATAATGTCGCCCTCACTAAGGTACTTATAATGTCGCCCTCACTAAGGTACTTATAATGCCGCCCTCACTAAGGTACTTATAATGTCGCCCTCACTAAGGTACTTATAATGTCGCCCTCACTAAGGTACTTATAATGTCGCCCTCACTAAGGTACTTATAATGTCGCCCTCACTAAGGTAATTATAATGTCGCCCTCACTAAGGTACTCATAATGTCGCCCTCACTAAGGTACTCATAATGTCGCCCTCACTAAGGTACTTATAATGCCGCCCTCACTAAGGTACTTATAATGTCGCCCTCACTAAGGTACTCATAATGTCGCCCTCAGTAAGGTACTCAATAATGTCGCCCTCACTAAGGAAACTCATAATGTCGCCCTCAGTAAGGTACTCATAATGTGCCCTCACTAAGGTACTCATAATGTCGCCCTCAGTAAGGTACTCATAATGTCGCCCTCACTAAGGTACTCATAATGTCGCCCTCAGTAAGGTACTCATAATGTCGCCCTCACTAAGGTACTCATAATGTCGCCCTCAGTAAGGTACTCATAATGTCGCCGTCACTAAGGTACTCATAATGTCGCCCTCAGTAAGGTACTCATAATGTCGCCCTCACTAAGGTACTCATAATGTCGCCCTCAGTAAGGTACTCATAATGTCGCCCTCACTAAGGTACTCATAATGTCTCCCTCAGTAAGGTACTCATAATGTCGTCCTCAGTAAGGTACTCATAATGTCGCCCTCAGTAAGGTACTCATAATGTCGCCCTCATTAAGGTACTCATAATGTCGTCCTCAGTAAGGTACTCATAATGTCGTCCTCAGTAAGGTACTCATAATGTCGTCCTCAGTAAGGTACTCATAATGTCGCCCTAAAGTAAAGTACTCATAATGTCTCCCTCAGTAAGGTACTCATAATGTCGCCCTCAGTAAGGTACTCATAATGTCGTCCTCAGTAAGGTACTCATAATGTCGCCCTCAGTAAAGTACTCATAATGTCTCCCTCAGTAAGGTACTCATAATGTCGTCCTCAGTAAGGTACTCATAATGTCGTCCTCAGTAAGGTACTCATAATGTCGTCCTCAGTAAAGTACTCATAATGTCTCCCTCAGTAAGGTACTCATAATGTCGTCCTCAGTAAGGTACTCATAATGTCGTCCTCAGTAAAGTACTCATAATGTCTCCCTCAGTAAGGTACTCATAATGTCGTCCTCAGTAAGGTACTCATAATGTCGCCCTCAGAAAGGGTACTCATAATGTCGCCCTCAGTAAGGTACTCATAATGTCGCCCTCAGTAAGGTACTCATAATGTCGCCCTCAGTAAGGTACTCATAATGTCGTCCTCAGTAAGGTACTCATAATGTCGTCCTCAGTAAGGTACTCATAATGTCGTCCTCAGTAAGGTACTCATAATGTCGTCCTCAGTAAGGTACTCATAATGTCTCCCTCACTAAGGTACTCATAATGTCGTCCTCAGTAAGGTACTCATAATGTCGCCCTCAGTAAGGTACTCATAATGTCGTCCTCAGTAACGTACTCATAATGTCGTCCTCAGTAAGGTACTCATAATGTCGCCCTCAGTAATGTACTCATAATGTCGTCCTCAGTAACGTACTCATAATGTCCTCAGTAAGGTACTCATAATGTCGTCCTCAGTAAGGTACTCATAATGTCGTCCTCAGTAAGGTACTCATAATGTCGTCCTCATAAGGTACTCATAATGTCGTCCTCAGTAACGTACTCATAATGTCGTCCTCAGTAAGGTACTCATAATGTCGCCCTCAGTAAGGTACTCATAATGTCGTCCTCAGTAAGGTACTCATAATGTCGTCCTCAGTAAGGTACTCATAATGTCGTCCTCAGTAAGGTACTCATAATGTCGTCCTCAGTAAGGTACTCATAATGTCGCCCTCACTAAGGCAGACAATCTTAACCAGTTAGGTTACTTCTAAACTGCTCACTAGATCAACTGTTGCAATGTTTTAATGGACATATCTAGAACAATGTTCATTCTAATGTAGTGTGCATTATGCATGATGTACACCGAGCTCTAATGACACTGTTGTACAATGAATAAGTCTTAAACATCTTGTCGGAATTGTGAACTTTGAGCATTATAATTGTATCTATTTATACTCGGTCACTCGCTCACTCTATGACTCAGTCACTAAGTCACTCTCACACTCACTTACTCTCTCACACATCCCACTAAGAAGATCAACAGTACCTGAGTGTTACAGTCACAGGTGCACTTGTACTCAATCTCGAGCATAAGGTTGTCCTCGAGTGTCTTCACCTCCACCAGAGTCTTCTCCACGTCCTTGGGACACTGATTTAACTGTAATATATTAAACTCATGAAGTTGTGATATAGCACCTTAATATATTTATACATAAAAATAAAAATCATGAAACTGGTTTTGCCTTCTGCAATGTGGAAAATACTGTATATTCTCCAAAAATACAGTGTATTTTTGTATGTAAATTGATGGAATATATTGTAGGTAATAAAAATTAATTTGTAAATAAATAAAGAACCAGCGAAATGGGTGAGGGTCGCTGGGGAAGAGTCGCCATTGTTTTGAATGGGGCTGAAGGCACGTGAGTGAAATGTGCATAAATTTCGTCGCTCTGGAGGTTAAATTGTGGTTGAAACCTCCCAAATAGGAGCAGAAATGGTTGAATTTGCAGTCCTGCATAATGTGAGCATTAGGCGAGTGGACAGGACAGTCCAGGAACCCCAGCTAAGTCGATGTCTATTTATGTTAAAATTCTGGCCAGTATTTTCTTTTTAATTTGGACAGGGGTTTGTGTATGACACACCAAGTAATCTCCAGACAAACTGGCGAGTCTTATTATTATAAATTCTCCTTCAATGTGATGTATATTTCATTTGAAATTAATATAGGTCCAGAGTGACTTGCTGAGAGATAAATTGTAGTGGGTATCGAAGAGGGACAATTTTTTGCGACCTAAGTGTCCTAAAATTCCTACTTGTCTCTGTAACCTTGATAAAGAATAATCATCTTTGTTACCATTTACTGGTATGTATCTTATGAGTTACATCCAGGTAAATTTAATTTTCCACATGCAATATACATATAAATATATATGCAAAACAACTATGGGGGAGTAGAATGATAGCTCTAGGCCTTTCGTGTTGCAATCAACACATCAGCAGCTTGCAAAATTGCAGAAATAAGGAGGGTGTCCAAGCAAATAACGTTCCCAGAGGACCGCCTTTACTGGAGTGAGGGAGAGAGAAAGGAGGGGGGGCCGGTAGTGTCGAGGCACAACAGTGCCCATAGCCAGAAAGATGAATATTATAGCATTAGAAAAAATCCCACAAGCATTGATATTGCAATACCCTAAACGAAATTAACGTGGCAATAATAAAAAATTTGGTCATATTCCACTATGACGTCAATAACTTTAAATATATAAATATATTGTCAGTGATATAGAAGTCACTGGCCGAAATGCCTAGCCATGCTAAGCGTTCTAGTGGTACACTCTGTAATCACAATTTTACTACATGTAAACCAAACAATAACCAAATTTCTGTAAACTCAGCATTGTAATCCTTATAGAGAATAAACTTTGAATTTGAATTATATTCTCCACAGGACAATGTGTCCCTTTTAAATTACAAGAGAAAACGGTACCATATATAGGGGAGACTTCTAAAAGTTATTTTTTTTTATTATCACACTGGCCGATTCCCACCAAGGCAGGGTGGCCCGAAAAAGAAAAACTTTCACCATCATTCACTCCATCACTGTCTTGCCAGAAGGGTGCTTTACACTACAGTTTTTAAACTGCAACATTAACACCCCTCCTTCAGAGTGCAGGCACTGTACTTCCCATCTCCAGGACTCAAGTCCGGCCTGCCGGTTTCCCTGAACCCCTTCATAAATGTTACTTTGCTCACACTCCAACAGCACGTCAAGTATTAAAAACCATTTGTCTCCATTCACTCCTATCAAACACGCTCACGCATGCCTGCTGGAGTCCAAGCCCCTCGCACACAAAACCTCCTTTACCCCCTCCCTCCAAAACTTTCCTAGGCCGACCCCTACCCCGCCTTCCTTCCACTACAGACTGATACACTCTTGAAGTTATTCTGTTTCGCTCCATTCTCTCTACATGTCCGAACCACCTCAACAACCCTTCCTCAGCCCTCTGGACAACAGTTTTGGTAATCTCGCACCTCCTCCTAACTTCCAAACTACGAATTCACGGCATTATATTCACACCACACATTGCTCTCAGACATGACATCTCCACTGCCTCCAGCCTTCTCCTCGCTGCAACATTCATCACCCATGCTTCACACCCATATAAGAGCGTTGGTAAAACTATACTCTCATACATTCCCCTCTTTGTCTCCACAGACTCCTAAGTGCACCACTCACCATTTTCCCCTCATCAATTCTATGATTCACCTCATCCTTCATAGACCCATCCGCTGACACGTCCACTCCCAAATATCTGAATACATTCACCTCCTCCATACTCTCTCCCTCCAATCTGATATCCAATCTTTCATCACCTAATCTTTTTGTTATCCTCATAACCTTACTCTTTCCTGTATTCACTTTCAATTTTCTTCTTTTGCACACCCTACCAAATTCATTCCACCAATCTCTGCAACTTCTCTTCAGAATCTCCCAAGAGCACAGTGTCATCAGCAAAGAGCAACTGTGACAACTCCCACTTTATGTGTGATTCTTTATCTTTAACTCCACGCCTCTTGCCAAGACCCCGCATTTACTTCTCTTACAACCCCATCTATAAATTATTAAACAACCACGGTGACATCACACATCCTTGTCTAAGGCCTACTTTTACTGGGAAATAATTTCCCTCTTTTCTACATACTCTAACTTGAGCCTCACTATCCTCGTAAAAACTCTTCACTGCTTTCAGTAACCTACCTCCTACACCATACACCTGCAACATCTGCCACATTGCCCCCTATCCACCCTGTCATACGCATTTTCCAAATCCATAATGCTACAAAGACCTCTTTAGCCTTATCTAAATACTGTTCACTTATATGTTTCACTGTAAACACCTGGTCCACACACCCCCTACCTTTCCTAAAGCCTCCTTGTTCATCTGCTATCCTATTCTCCGTCTTACTCTTAATTCTTTCAATAATAACTCTACCATACACTTTACCAGGTATACTCAACAGACTTATCCCCCTATAATTTTTGCACTCTCTTTTATCCTTTGCCTTTATTACAAAGGAACTATGCATGCTCTCTGCCAATCCCTAGTACCTTACCCTCTTCCATACATTTATTAAATAATTGCACCAACCACTCCAAAACTATATCCCACCTGTTTTTTAACATTTCTATCTTTATCCCATCAATCCCGGCTGCCTTACCCCCATTTCATTTTACCTACTGCCTCACGAAACTTCCCCCACACTCACAACTGGCTCTTCCTCACTCCTACAAGATGTTGTTCCTCCTTGCCCTATACACGAAATCACAGCTTCCCTATCTTCATCAACATTTAACAATTCCTCAAAATATTCCCTCCATCTTCCCAATACCTCTAACTCCCATTTAATAACTCTCCTCTCCTATTTTTAACTGACAAATCCATTTGTTCTCTAGGCTTTCTCAACTTGTTAATCTCACTCCAAAACTTTTTCTTATTTTCAACAAAATTTGTTGATAACATCTCACCCACTCTCTCATTTGCTCTCTTTTTACATTGCTTCACCACTCTTAACCTCTCTTTTTTTCTCCATATACTCTTCCCTCCTTGCATCACTTCTACTTTGTAAAAACTTCTCATATGCTAACTTTTTCTCCCTTACTACTCTCTTCACATCATCATTCCACCAATTGTCCTCTTCCTCCCTCCCGCACCCACTTTCCTGTAACCACAAACTTCTGCTGAACACTCTAACACTACATTTTTAAACCTAACCCCATACCTCTTCGACCCTATTGCCTATGCACTCATTAGCCCATCTATCCTCCAATAGCTGTTTATATCTTACCCTAACTGCCTCCTCTTCTTAGTTTATAAACCTTCACCTCTCTCTCCCTGATGCTTCTATTCTCCTTGTATCCCATCTACCTTTTACTACTCTCAGTGTAGCTACAACTAGAAAAGTGATCTGATATATCTGTGGCCCCTCTATAAACATGTACATCCTGAAGTCTACTCAACAGTCTTTTATCTACCAATATATAATCAACAAACTACTGTCATTTCGCCCTACATCATATCTTGTATACTTATTTATCCTCTTTTTTCTTAAAATATGTTATTACCTATAACTAAACCCCTTTTCTATACAAAGTTCAATCAAAGGGCTCCCATTAATCATTTACACCTTGGCACCCCAAACTTACCTACCACACCCTCTCTAAAAGTTTCTCCTACTTTAGCATTCAGGTCCCCTACCACAATTACTCTCTCACTTGGTTCAAAGGCTCCTATACATTCACTTAACATCTCCCAAAATCTCTCTCTCTCCTCTGCATTCCTCCTCTTCTCCAGGCAAACACGCTTATTATGACCCATTTCTCGCATCCACCTTTCTTTAATCCACATAATTCTTGAATTTACACATTCATATTCTCTTTTCTCCTTCCATAACTGATCATTCAACATTACTGCTACCCCTTCCTTTGCTCTAACTCTCCAGATACTCCAGATTTAATCCCATTTTTTTCCCCCCCACCGAAACTCCCCTCCCCCCTTCAGCTTGTTTCGCTTGGGGCCAGGACATCCAACTTCTTTTCATTCATAACATCAGCAATCACTGTTTCTTGTCATCCCCCTACATCCACGCACATTTAAGCATCAGTTTTATAAAGTTTTTTCTTCTTCTCTTTTTTAGTAAATGTCTACAGGAGAAGGGTTACTAGCCCATTGCTCCCGGCATTTTAGTCGCCTCAACGACACGCATGGCTTACGGAGGAAAGATTCTTTTCCATTTCCCCCATGGACATAGAAGAAATAAAGAGAACAAGAGCTATTTAGAAAAAGGAGAAAAACCTAGATGTATGTATATATATATGCATGTGCGTGTCTGTGAAGTGTGACCAAAGTGTAAGTAGGAGTAGCAAGATATCCCTGTTATCTAGTGTGTTTATGAGACAGAAAAAGAAACCAGCAATCCTACCATCATGTAAAACAGTTACAGGTTTCTGTTTCACAGTCATCTGGCAGGACGGTAGTACTTCCCTGGGTGGTTGCTGTCTACCAACCTATGTAAAGGAAATAGGGCTCATTAAAATAAATTCATTAAAGGGGGGGGGGAGAGATCTGCAATAACAGGAAAGCCGGCCATAGATATTCATCCCAAATAATTCTGAGGCAAACTCTGGTTCAACCTTCAGAAACTGCAGGAAAAATGTAGGCTTTATTTCGTCGGTGTGACACTACATTTAAGACAGTCTGATGCATTCGTATAAGAGCCCAGTTTTAAACTGTGTACTACTGCTTCAACCAAAAATGCATCTAATTTGAACAGCCCATCACTGATATTGTATAAAGACTGCCTATCATGCTTAATAACTGCCGATTCCACAATATTCCTTTCAAGCCAAGAGAAACAAGGGAAGATGACTCTTGCTTCCCACAAATTTATCACAAGCTCTATTATGGTTGAAAATCGCATTCGACTCCTATACTATACATATTGAATAACGGTGTTGGGACAATCTCACCTCCAATGATTTTCCTGTTTGTCCTGTGTATCAACACATCTATGAATGGAAGTTTACTGTCAACCTCCTTTTCACCGTGGAAAAAGAGGTGGACTGTAAACTTCCATTCTTAGATGTGCTGTTACACAGGATTGTTAGAAAGTTTAAGTTTGCATAATATAAGAAAGCCACCAATGTGTGTGCTCATACATTCACTATTATTCCAACCAAGAGACTAAAGTCAAAAGGAGTGTATTTCTTACTATGTTTTTGAGAGCCTATAGAGTGTGCAGTCCAGAGATCCTAGATGAAGAAATTAGGAAAATATTTGACATTGGCACAAAACTGCGATATCCTAAAGTGTTTATGAAATCGGCCTTGCTGGAAGCTAAGGAAACTTATTATAAACAGAACCTAGGATAACACCTCAGACCAAGACTGTGCTGGTCCTCCCATATAACGAGAATTTATCTATGATGCATATGCTCTGAAAAGATTTAATATACAAGTATTATTTAAAAATTCAGACTGTTAGAAGCATCCTGATAAAGAATTTACCCAAACAACGTGTTGGTGGTGTCTACAGAGTTGGTTGCAATGGTTGCAGTCACTCCTGTCTGGGACAAACAGGAAAATCATTGGAGGTGAGATTGTCCCAACACCGCTATTCAAAAGGTATAACACAGGAGTCAAACCAAATTAGAGCATGTGATCACCCAGCAAATTTGTGGGAAGCAAGAGTCATCTTCCCTTGTTTCTCTTGGCTTGAAAGGAATATTGTAGAATCGGCAATTATTAAGCATGATAGGCAGTCCTTATCAATATCAGTGATGGGCTGTTCAAATTAGATGCATTTTTAGTTGAGGCAAAAGTACACAGTTTAAAACTGGGCTCTTATACGAATGCATCAGACTGTCTTAAATGTAGTGCCACACCGAGGAATTAGGTCCTACATTTTTTTTCCTGCAGTTTCTGAAGGTTGAACCAGAGTTTGCCTCAGAATTATTTGGGATGAATATCTATGGCCGGCTTTCCTGTTATTGCAGATGTCTTCCCCCCCCCCCTTAATGAATTTATTTTAATGAGCCCCATTTTCTTTACATAACTTTTAGAAGTCTCCCCTACGTACGGTACCGTTTTCTCTTGTAATTTAAAGGGACACATTGTCCCGTGGAGAATATAATTGCCAGTGACTTCTATATCACTGACAATATATTTATATATTTAAAGTTATTGACGTCATAGCGAAATATGACCGATTTTTTTATTATTGCCACGTTAATTTCGTTTAGGCTATTAGAATATCAATGCTTGTAAGATTTTTTCTAACGTTATAATACATCTTTCTGGCTATGGGCACTGTTGTGCCTCGACACTACCGGCCCCCTCTCCTTTCTCCCTCCCTCACTTCAGTAAAGGCGGTCCTCTGGGAACGTTATTTGCTTGGACACCCTCCTCTTTTATGCAATTTTGCAAGCTCCTGATAATGTGGTGATTGCAATACGAAAGGCTGTGGTTGTTTTGCATCTTGTATCGCTTGGTTTCCGATATTTGCTTTATATATATTATATTATATATTATTATTTTTAATAATATTTTATTATATATATATTTTTATATATATGTCGTGCCGAATAGGCAGAACTTGCGATCTTGGCTTAAATAGCAACGCTCATCTTGCCATATAGGACAAGTGAAAATTTGTGTATGCAATAATTTCGCCAAAATCATTCTGAACCTAACGAAAAAAATATATTTGATTGTGTTTGTTTAGTATTAAATTATTGTAAACAAATGTAAAATATATTTAGTTCAGTTAGGCTAAAATAAATTGCTCTTGTTATAATAAGGTTAGGTAAGTTTTCTAAGATTCTTTTGGTGCAAAATTAAAAATTTTTACATTAACATTAATGAAAAAAATATATCTTTAAACGTATAAGAGAAAATTTCAGAAAGGACTTAATTTTAAATGAGTTCTTGCTAATTGACCAGTTTTACATATTCGGCACGACATATATATATATATATTAATATATATATATTATATATATATAATATATTTATTATATATATATATTATATATATATATATATATATATATATATATATACATATATAGGATATATATGGGATTTTTGGTCTAGAAAATTGATTGCATTTGTGTTTTGTGTAGCAAACCGATATATAAAACTCAAGAAATCCTTATTATTTTGTTATAGAAAATTAAAAAGTAATTACAACCAAAGCAAAGACAAATATACACATGTATATACTTCAGTTATGCTTACGTTTCTTTGAGTATGTCAACAACTCAACCATGAAGTGAAAATGTGGAAAGTGTACTATCTCTCTCAAATGTCTTTTTCAAGCTGTGGAATTTTCTTAACGTGGACAGTTACCTCCTTGTCATTCCCCAAAGTATGCTCCTAAAAGTTAGCCACCACAGAGATGGGTACCTTGACTTGGTACCTACCTTGATTTCCAGGACAAAGTCGATTTCATCGTTCTCCTTGATGCCTCCACACTCCTTGGTGACTCTGAGGTCGCCACCATCCTTGCACTTGGAGAAGTACCTGATGCTGACGTCTGAGTTGGTGCTGTTGTCTGTCAGACGAACCACAGACGAAATTTTCTGCAAAAGTGGAGTAGAAGGTATATTTTACGTTTATTCAATTTAGCAAGGAAATACATCAGTGTCTTCACCAGCGGGAAGAATAAAAGGCTTGCACTACAGATGATATACAAGAACTCCTCCGCTGACGCCATGATGTAATTTACAAGTGATGCCATAAATTCAAGAGACATATAAGAATATGTATATAACTGTTTAGCTAGGAGGGTTATTAACCCAGAATATCATAAAACAAATGATTATCACCAAAGTACCTATTTAATGCTAGGACAACAATGGTAGAAAGTGTAAGAAGACTTGCCCATACCCTGAATTGAAACCTAGGTCGTCGATTGTAACCCGAACTCTCCACTGCTGAATATGAGTCACACTGTTTACATATACATACTATACTTGTACCACACGAGTCTGGATTAATTTGACCATCACAGAGTACATAGACGAGTGGTATATATTGCTTTCAAAATATTCATAATATCTGATAAATTAATGAAGAAAAACATAACTTTTAGTTTCTTAGTTATTCCTTTACTCACCTTGCAGTACCCAGCCAACCCTTTCTTAGTTATTCCTTTACTCACCTTGCAGTACCCAGCCAACCCTTTCTTAGTTATTCCTTTACTCACCTTGCAGTACCCACCCAACCCTTTCTTAGTTATTCCTTTACTCACCTTGCAGTACCCAGCCAACCTTTCTTAGTTATTCCTTTACTCATCTTGCAGTACCCACCAACCCTTTCTTAGTTATTCCTTTACTCACCTTGCAGTACCCAGCCAACCCTTTCTTAGTTATTCCTTTACTCACCTTGCAGTACCCACCAAACCCTTTCTTAGTTATTCCTTTACTCACCTTGCAGTACCCACCCAACCCTTTCTTAGTTATTTCTTTATCACCTTGCAGTACCCAGCCAACCCTTTCTTAGTTATTCCTTTACTCACCTTGCAGTACCCAGCCAACCCTTTCTTAGTTATTTCTTTACTCACTTGCAGTACCAGCCAACCCTTTCTTAGTTATTCCTTTACTCACCTTGCAGTACCCAGCCAACCCTTTCTTAGTTATTCCTTTACTCACCTTGCAGTACCCACCAACCCTTTCTTAGTTATTCCTTTACTCACCTGCAGTACCCAGCCAACCCTTTCTTAGTTATTCCTTTACTCACCTTGCAGTACCCAGCCAACCCTTTCTTAGTTATTCCTTTACTCACCTTGCAGTACCCAGCCAACCCTTTCTTAGTTATTCCTTTACTCACCTTGCAGTACCCAGCCAACCCTTTCTTAGTTATTCCTTTACTCACCTTGCAGTACAAAGCCAACCCTTTCTTAGTTATTCCTTTACTCACCTTGCAGTACCCAGCCAACCCTTTCTTAGTTATTCCTTTACTCACCTTGCAGTACCCAGCCAACCCTTTCTTAGTTATTCCTTTACTCACCTTGCAGTACCCAGCCAACCCTTTCTTAGTTATTCCTTTACTCACCTTGCAGTACCCAGCCAACCCTTTCTTAGTTATTTCCTTTACTCACCTTGCAGTACCAGCCAACCCTTTCTTAGTTATTCCTTTACTCACCTTGCAGTACCCAGCCAACCCTTTCTTAGTTATTCCTTTACTCACCTTGCAGTACCCAGCCAACCCTTTCTTAGTTATTCCTTTACTCACCTTGCAGTACCCAGCCAACCCTTTCTTAGTTATTCCTTTACTCACCTTGCAGTACCCAGCCAACACTTTCTTAGTTATTCCTTTACTCACCTTGCAGTACCCAGCCAACCCTTTCTTAGTTATTCCTTACTCACCTTGCAGTACCCACCCAACCCTTTCTTAGTTATTCCTTTACTCACCTTGCAGTACCCAGCCAACCCTTTCTTAGTTATTCCTTTACTACCTTGCAGTACCAGCCAACCCTTTCTTAGTTATTCCTTTACTCACCTTGCAGTACCCAGCCAACCCTTTCTTAGTTATTCCTTTACTCACCTTGCAGTCCCCAGCCAACCTTTCTTAGTTATTCCTTTACTCACCTTGCAGTACCCAGCCAACCCTTTCTTAGTTTTTCCCTTTTACTCACCTTGCAGTACCCAGCCAACCCTTTCTTAGTTATTCCTTTACTCACCTTGCAGTACCCACCCAACCTCCCATCCCAATTATATTATATATATATATATAATATATATATATATATATATATATATAAATACACTGATCTCTGGCTGAAGGAGACTCGAACCTACGAACCTTGGAACAAGGTACGCAGTGCTATACCAATCTCACCACACTGGACCAATACCTTGGCGTCCAGCTTGCGCTAGACTTTGATCCAAGGCAGCCAGCTTTCAGGGAGAAGGCTTACAGCTTTTCATCTCATCCTCTGCATCCATCAGCCTTACTAGAGATTTTAACAATGCAAGGAATTCTCAAGAGTAGGCGAAATATACACAAACACTGATCGCTGGCTGAAGGAGACTCGAACCTACGAACCTTGGAACAAGGTATACACTGTGGTGAGATTGTGGCAGTGTGACAGTGTGGTGAGATTGGTATAGC